CACTAACGGTAGTACTAATTATGTTAATTTCACGTTAACTTCACATAGTTATGCTTAAATTTTAATGAGAATTAGTGTAAGAAAATTGAGGAAATAATTAATGCAAAAATATCATGATTCGCACGATGATCATCGGAAATTCGGATCAAACGTAAAATATTATCAGAGCATTGAACAATTTGTCAATCACATTCATCTTCAAATAAAAATTACAGCTACCCCTAATTTATAATTCCACTCAACATTGCAAAACTTTTAACTTTTACCTAGACAATGCATCATCTATACCTGCAAAAATTGCAGCCAACAACGTTGCGAGTTTTTCAGATCAGTTATCGTGCAACGACTTCATTAAATACAATCTGTTGAAGCTCTGCCCAGCAACCCTGCAAAATGATTTTAACAATGTAAGTTGCTGAAGATATTAAGATTACAGTGCATATCTTGACATTTTCATTTTGGGTCTGAAATCTTTTAGTGTATAAATGCAGAGTAGAACCCGGACTGGAGATCAATTTGTTCATGCAGCCAGTGGATTTGGGTTCGAATCCGGGTAACAGTTCATCATTGGTAATATAATTGTGACGTGATTATGACGTTGAAGAAGCAAATCATAATGGAAATGCATGATTAAACATCGAGGACAAAATAAGTAAATGAATAACACCGTTATAGAAGGATTTGTAAAGGTAAATCAACATAGAGATGCATGTTTCTTTTATTATGTTACACTAAGCATTGATTCATGTCGAAAAGGAAGAATCGGCAAGTTAAAAAGGGACATTAAACCCCATAGGTTTCAAAATGTCAAATTGTAGGATATTTGCTTATGTCATGCTATCCTGAAAAAAGAAAATGGTAAGATCGATAACAGACAACATACCCGTTGATTTGGTTGCAGTAATTAGCAATTTGGTTTGTTATGAGAAAGCTCTCCAATCGTGATGGCTCGGGGATTGGCTTGAAGATGGGGTTTGTGGGGTCCTCCTCAGGCAATGGTTCCTCCCCAGCCGCTTTCCGTGCCATGTTCTCAGACCTACAGTTACAAAAGAGAAAATAGATAAAACTAGGTGAACTAAGAAAACAGAAGTATAATATGAAGATTTTTTACACGACAAAATCTATTTTATCCAAAAGGTAAAAGAGAGAATGCAGTTCCAAACTTTTAACTTTTAATTTTGACCCTTGAAAACCATAAGAAAGATGAGGAACCTTCAATTCTACATTGAAAACTTCATGTCTGCCCCAGAATTTCTAGATCATCATAACTGAAAAACAATTTTGCTCGCTCTTTTTCTGTTCTTTTGTTCCTCTTCCCAGGGAAATCATTTATAAGGAGATTAATAGGTTACTTAAACTCAGGTGTAAGTGTGGATACGGGTACATCTCCAACACATGTTAATTAATTTTTTTTTTTTGAAGTTTTCCATGCACTTGGAAAATCCTTGGATGGTATTTCAAGGAAAATGAGGAGTCAAGTAACATAAAGATCAAGCATAGAGGTCAAGTACACTACCTTCTTTTCTGAAGCCATGCCTGTTGCTGGGCTTGTTGACGTGACAAGCTCCTGTAGTAAAATTGGAACTGCAAAAGGAGAAAAATAGAATGGCAATTTATGTTAAACATAAAATAGCAGGCAATGATAGCAGTGTAATATCGGAGAAATGGGAATACATACCTTCTGCTGTTCCATTGACAAATCATCCATGCATTCAATCAAAAATTCCATATTCCTCTCCATATAAGGATTACTTGACAATTGCAGACGATCATAATCACACTAAAATGGAAAATTACAATTAGATGGTGAATTTCACAGATAAAAAGTCCACTGCTACAATAATACTGAAAATCACTTTATATTTCACCTGTGTCACTGATGTATCAGATTCCAGCTCAGTCATAAAGGCACTGATAAGAGCAGAATTTGAGACTTTGATCTGCATTACAAAAGCACCACAAAATTAACACGAAAGGGGAAACCATGATTGATGATTGTCTATATGAAAATACACTTGCTTATCGGTGATACATCAAGTATTTACTGTATTGTATGAGGCAAACATGGCAAAATCATCAACATTCCACACTGTATGTTATAGGTTTATTTTTGTATCACATCCTACCAACGATGAATAATTGTTATTCATAATACATGGAGTATCCACTGGACTAATATTTGTTTAATTTTTCATACGAGACAATAATAAAGGAAAATGCAGTCCCTATGATGTATTATATTACTCCATCAGACTAGTAAACAGTCAAAGCCATAGAAACTTACAGGAATTTCCTCAAAAATATCCACCCATGACAAGTTTTTCTCCCTCAACCTATAAAATCAGCAAAAGAGAATCAATATGAAAGAACACAAAATTCATATAGAAAAAGTGTAGACAAAAAGGCAAATCATACTTCTCTCCAGTAAAGCTATTAGCCCGGTAAAGTTCCATAAAAGAATCAGATAGCTTTAAAGCCTTTAGAGCCAAGACACCTTGATTAGACCTTGATGGATCGTAGATAATGCACACACACCTCCTTATATTCTCCTGCACCGTTTAATCAGATAATTAACTGAATAACTACATAAAAATGTTCTCCCTACCACATAAAGTTTTCAGCTCAAACGAACAGACATAAAGCTTTCTCTATTCGGTGCTATTTTTCTTTTCTATCCATAGAATTGTGAGATCTCATGTTCATCAGTAGCAATGCATTTATACACAATTCAGAAGATTCACAATAAAACCGCCACCAAATAATGTTAAAAATGTTCCCCCTACCTGATAATTCATAAAGGTCTCAATGAGCTCAACCGTCTGATATGAACCCAAAATCGTTGACTGGTACCTGAAATATGCAACCAAAGATCACCACGTGAAACAGAAGTACATAATACATGATTTAACCATTAACCAAAATACAAATCACTTCATAAATAAAACTATTACAATACTATGCATACAGCAAGATAGGTTTCACCATTGGTTTTTAACAGTATCAGAATTATGATTTCAATTCCTAATTCCTCAAGTATCTAAGATAACATCCATAAACTACCAAAAAAAAACTCTGCATTGGCTCCAAAAACCAGTGTATCTAGTAGTCAAACTACAAAAAGAAACTATTCTTTCTATATACAAAAAAAGACGAGACATTACCATCCAACAGTGTTGTTATCAACATTAACCTCCCTTAAACATCTCATCATCTCAAGCTGATAATTAGCTCCATCAGCTTCAATCTCCTCGTCCTCCTCGCGGATCTATTCCAATAATTAAAACATAAAACATTCCAATTTAAAACAATAACATAACAAAATTCAAAGAGGGGAAAAGGGTTAAAAAGGGATTAACGATATTACCGGGAAAGGGAAACAATTGGTAACTTCCAGAACACTGCCAACATCTAATCCAAGAAGCTGGCCGGTAACCAGAGCCGGTGAAAACTCCTTGCAGTGCTTGATTATTTTTAATATCACCTAAGAATTCAAAATCCATTGATAAGAAAAATATCAATCAACAGAAAAATAAAACAAAAGAGAGAGAATAAATCAGAGGGAACGGATGAATACCAGCCCTTCGATCTGGACAACGCGGAGAGGTGAAACGACCTCTTCCGTAGCTGCAACTTGAAGGAAAGACCTTGCCGTTGAACTTGCCGCCATTATAGAATGTGTTGTCTTTGAGAAAGCTCCGTTAGCGACGCGAAAGGGAAAACAACGACGACAACAATTGCACGGAAACCCTAGCTTTTGCTTTAAAACTGAGAACTTAAAAAGTAGTAATGGGCTATTAGAGTTTGGGTTATACCATATCTAGGGATGGCAATGGGTCGGGTCGGGTCGGGTTTTTGGGCCACCCGACCCGACCCGAGAAAAAAGGGGTTTTCACCCGTGACCCGACCTGACCCGACGAAATTAAGGTTTCACCCGACCCGACCCGAATATATGACTTAGAAATCCGATCCGACCCGACCCGACCCGAAATAATAATAAAAAAAAATTATTCAATGAAAACAGTGACTTAATTGAAAAAAATTATATATGGAGGGACATTATTGTAATTATCCCTAAATATATAGGATAAATTATATATATTTTTCGAGTCGGGTCGGGTCGGATTTTTTTCACCCTAAACCCGACCCGACCCGAACAGTACATTTAAAAAAAACCCGACCCGACCCGACCCGAACCCGAATTTTTTAAAAAAATCCGACCCGATCGGGTCGGGTCGGGTCGGAACCCGTCGGATTCGGTTTGAGTTGCCATCCCTAACCATATCACATGGTACTATAGAGGCGATGTCAATTCTTTTAATTTAGTTTATTTCATTTGTAAATATCAGTATTCGAACCTCTGATATTACTTAAGGAATCTAGTATCTCATCCCACTAGATCAACTGGTTGTTGGTATAGTGTGGTCTTTTTTAATTGTACATAATTTTAATGTGATTGGATGAGTATAAATAGACAATTGAGATTAACTCTTTTTTTCAATGTATATTTTAACTATCCAACGGTCCTAATTGTATATAACTAAATATTTTTTAAATTGTAACCAAATCCTATCCATTAAATTAAATTTTTATTTTTTTAGATTAAATACTCATTAAATATTTATTAATTTTAAAATTAGATCACGACCCTCAGATTTTAAATTTTATATCGATAATTAAATATTGATCTCATTTTATTATCATTTATTAATTTTAAATTAGATCAATGAAACATTATGAATCGATTTTATCCTCACCTCGACCATGTATGAAACTTAAATTTCATAAATGATTCGAGCCAAATTAATTATTCAATTCAATTAATAACCGGATTAGCATTCATCCAAAAACAAAAGACAAGACATGGTTTGCCATATGATAGGAACTTATAAAAGCAATTTTTTATATTAAAGATTTACATATGAAAAATCAAAACCTACACTTGGAGAAATAAGAACTCGTTATTTTAGCACAGCTCATTTGACATTTTTATTATATTCACCACACAACCTAAATCCCTTGTTCAATTCTTTTTACGACTACAACTCGAAAAAGGTTCAGCAGCCGACGCGTGAAAACCGGTGACAGGCAGATCATATCGGCCGCAGTAACGTTGGACTCAATCCTACATGTTCATGGTATACTTGAAAAGTTTGGAAAGAAAGAAATATGATTAGTATTTGTGAACTGATGGAATCTGCAGATGAATGAATCCAAACTGGGCATGAAAGGTGAGGAATCTGGGCTCATCTGATTTTAAGACTCGGGTTCTGGTGCTGGAACGGTGGACTTCAACAGTGGCTGGAGAGCCTTGACGACGATGCTCATGTTTGGACGGAACTCAGTTTCGTACTGCACGCACAATGCTGCCACAGCTGCTAACTGCATCAACAAAAACGTAGTTGAGACTGTTAATTGCTAGTTCGGGCCGGTGTGGCTGTTACGTGTCTTCCGTTGTTTGAACGCCCAAAACCCGGAAAAATTTAAACTTGTGCAATGTCAAGAAGACACGGGATGATAGAAGTACCTTAGCAATTCCTTTAGGAGGATACTCTCCCTTCAGTTTTGGATCTACACATTGTTTAACTTTATCTTCAATCAATCTTGGAGTAACCTAAATTGAGGAAAAATAAATGTTGAAGAGCTAGTCACATTTAAAGTGAATTGGAAAGACCGACAAACGAAAATGCACCATCACACTAGATAAAGAAAAGGATAAAGAAAAGGGAAAAGATTGACAGGAAGAAGAGAAAGCATAACTCACCCAGGTAACGAGGCTTTGCTGTCCACGCGGCATTGTATGGTCGACAGGTTTCCTTCCGGTCAAAAGCTCTAGGAGGACAACCCCGAAACTGTACACATCACTTTTCTGCGTCAACTGACCAGTCATTGAATACCTGGAAAAGAATGGAACCGTAATTTGTTACATCATACATTATATCTGCACTCCGCAGCATCGCAGGGATAGTGGTGTATTCATAAAAGAAAACTAGACAACTCCTCAAATTCATGTCTGTAGTTCTAGAAACACAGACAGTGGACTCCGCATATAGCCCGTTGAACCTTAGATGGCGGAAAAGAATATAGGGAACATAAAGAGTGCCATCATTTGGGAAAATAGTTAAATCAAAAATTATTTACACATTATTTCCTAGATGTTATCCGAGAATGCAATTAATCGTAACCAACCTTATGCACAAAGCTAATGACTTGTTGGGCCATCAAGAAAGATAAACATAACATGAAAGAGCTTAGAAAGCATACTCTGGAGCATGATAACCAAAGGTTCCCAGAACTCGAGTGGAATGTAGACGAGCAGCCATGTCGGGAGACTTGTTTGAGAGGTTAAAATCTGCAATCTTCGCTTTGAAATCATCAAAGAGAAGGATATTGCTAGATCTGATATCTCGGTGTATAACATAGGGTTGAACCTTCTCATGCAAGTACTCCAAGCCCCTTGCGGCATCAACCGCAATTGTAACCCGTTGCATCCAGTCAAGCACAGGACCTGGTTGTGCTCCCTGAACCCCCTTCCTACCTAGAATCACCAGAAAGAAAGATGTCAAACTAATAGTGTCTATTTTGTATAACAAGATGTCGAGAATATCTAAATTAAATATTAGATAGGATCAGTTTTAATTAGATAAAATCAGTTTTTATTCTATTAGTTATTAGATATGATCATTTTTAATTAGATAGAATCATTTTTTTATTCTATTAGTTATTAGATAGGATCATTTTTAATTAGATAGAATCATTTTTATTTTGTTGCTAATTTTATGCATCTTTTTATGTAAAGTTGTTACATTGTAGACTCTATTTAAGTCGGCCATATTCAGCAGAAATAAACACGATTTATTCGGAACAAATTTTTCCGTCTTTATGGTGTCAGAGCCAAAATGGCCAAACCCTACGATGATACCTCTGGTATCGACTCTATGAGTTCTACTCACTCACCTTCAATCACCCTAAACACTGAATCCTTCCAAAACATATCCATCACTTCTCACAAGTTGAATGGAAATAATTTCTTACAGTGGTCACAATCTGTGAAACTGTTTATTCGTGGCCGTGGAAAATTCGGCTATCTCTCAGATACCACTACGAAACCTGTCGAAGAAGATGAAGAATCTGAAAGATGGGAGGCAGAAAACTCGATGATTATGTCTTGGCTCATAAATTCCATGGATCCGAGTGTAGGGAGAACTTATCTCTTCCTACCTACTGCTCATGACATTTGGAATGCTGTGAACGAGACCTATTATGATCTCGGGAACGCAGGACAATGGTTTGAACTAAAAACTCGGTTATGGAGGCTAAAACAAGGAGAAAAAACTGTCACTCAATACTACACTGAACTCAAGACCTTGTGGCAAGAGGTTGACATGTTCAGCGACTACGAATGGAGTTGTGCTAAGGACAGGGCTCTATTCCAGAAGATGGTGGAAAAAGAACGCGTCTTCGAATTCCTTGTCGGCCTTAACAAGGAATTGGATGAAGTCAGAGGGCGCATTCTTAGTCGTGAACCACTACCAAGCACAAGAGAAGTCTTCTCCGAAGTCAGACGAGAGGAGAGCCGGCGGACAGTCATGCTTGGAGGCCACTCACCAAATCCCACCGAGTCTTCTGCCTTGTTCTCGGGTCAGCCACCACGTCGCAACGATCGTCGGAACGACAGAGATCGGCCAATCTGCGAGCACTGCAACAAGTCGGGACACACTAAAGCCAAGTGTTGGAAGCTACACGGGAAGCCAGCCGAGAATTTTTCAGCCAATCGAAATTCTCGTAATGCAAAGGGATTCCATGCCTCATCTGAAGATGCTTCTGAAGAGCCGAAACCTGCCTCAGAACTGTCTGCCTTCAGCAAAGAACAGCTAGAGCAATTGTATCAACTAATGAGTTCTCATTCCATATCCAACACTCCTAACCCATCATCTTATATTGCCTCTTCATCATTAGCCCAGAAAGGTACATATCCTACAGCTTTCATAGCCGGTTCTAAATCAAACCCTTGGATCATAGATTCAGGGGCAACAGATCACATGACCGGTAATTCCTCCATATTCTCATCTTATTTTCCTTTATCTGGTAATCTGAAAGTGAAAATTGATGATGGCTCCCTAACCTCTATAGCTGGAAAATGCTCTATCATTATTTCTCCATCTCTCACATTACTAAATGTCCTACATGTCCCAAAGCTCTCTTGCAATCTCATCTCTGTTAATCGTATTATTCATGATTGCAAATGCATTGCTACAATAACATTTGCTGGATTTGAATTTCAGGACCCTTGTTCGGGGAAGATGATTGGCAATGCTAAGGAGGTTGATGGACTCTATCACTTGGTCACGGACAATCCTTCAGATAAACAAGTTAAGAAACCGAGATGCTTTACTACCTTGTCTTGTGAGAATGAAATAATGTTGTGGCATTATAGGTTAGGCCATCCTAGTTTTAATTACTTGAAATATTTGTTTCCAAATCTTTTCAAAAAAAGGACGGTTTTTCTTTTCAGTGTGAAGCTTGCGAATTGGCAAAACATCATAGATCTGTTTATCCATCTTTAAAGTATATGCCATCAAAATATTTTTCTCTTGTGCATAATGATATTTGGGGCCCTTCACGAGTAAAAACAGCCTCAGGATCTAGATGGTTCATCACATTCATTGATGATCACACTAGAGTCACGTGGATTTATTTACTAAAAGAAAAATCCGAGGCAGCAAGTGTTTTCAAAAATTTTCACTCACTGATCAATACTCAGTTTCAAGCAAATATTCAAGTTCTTAGAACCGATAATGGTCGAGAATATTTTAATGCAATCTTAAGTGATTTTTTGAAACAAAAAGGAATTATTCATCACAGTTCTTGCGTTGATACTCCCCAACAAAATGGAGTTACTGAAAGAAAAAATAGGCATTTATTAGAGGTAACTAGGGCTTTACTGTTTGCTATGAATGTTCCTAATCGTTTTTGGAATGAAGCACTCTTAACAGCGTCTTATTTGATAAATCGAATGCCTACAAGAGTTCTTAACTATATTACTCCTTTGCAAGCTCTAAAGAATATGTTTCCTGAAAATAGATCTTTCACTGATTTAACACCTAAAATTTTTGGTTGCATTGCTTTTGTTCATATACACAGCCAAAATAGAGGAAAACTCGATCCCCGAGCACATAAATGCATATTTCTAGGTTTTTCACCAACACAAAAAGGGTATAAATGCTTTGATCCTAAATCTGGGAAGTATTATGTGAGTATGGATGTCACGTTTTTTGAAAAACAACCTTTTTTTGACAAAAACTCTCTTCCGGGGGAGAATGACTCTGAAATGAGTTTTTGGGAACAAACATCCTTGCCAAAATCGGTTGTAAATAGCTCAGTGGAACCAATTCATATTTCCGTAACTAATCCTAGGATTTCACAACCTATAAATTCACAACCTCGTGAGACTCAGGTAGAAACCAACTTGGAACCACCTACTGAACTTCGTGTTTATTCTAGACGGATGACTCGACCAAGTAATATTCCACCGGCCCCCAAGGTATGCCAACCATCGGACTCGACTATGGTCCAAGGTACAACTTCTCTTTCTCCTATTTCTTCTCCAAATTTAGAGCCTTCTACAGAATTCTTTGAACCCATAGCCTTGCGCAAAGGTGTTAGATCATGTACCACAAAACATCCAATATCCAATTTCTTATCTTATAATAAACTCTCTCCAGATTTCAAAGCTTTTTCCACCAGGATTATGGATGATGCACTACCTAAGTCGATACATGAAGCTCTAGAAGTTCCGAGATGGAGAGAGGCAGTTTTTGAGGAGTTAAAGGCCCTGAAGAAGAATGACACGTGGGATCTAACTCCTTTACCTGAGGGGAAACGATCTGTAGGCAGCAAGTGGGTGTTCACCATCAAATACCATGCAGATGGCTCGGTCGAGAGATACAAGGCAAGACTCGTAGCACGAGGCTTCACTCAGACATACGGCTTTGACTACGAAGAGACCTTCGCACCTGTGGCCAAACTAAACACCGTACGTGTCCTACTCTCACTAGCCGCCAATCTGGATTGGACTCTCAGACAGTTTGATGTGAAGAATGCGTTCCTAAACGGTGAGCTAGAGGAAGAGGTGTTTATGGAAGTTCCTCCAGGCTTTGATGAATTGAAGAAGGATGGCAGGGTCTGCAAGCTAAAGAAATCCATTTATGGATTGAAACAATCTCCGAGAGCCTGGTTCGAGAGATTCACGAGAGCTGTGAAACAACATGGTTACACTCAGGCCCAGTCTGATCATACTATGTTCTACAAACACAATCATGATAAAATTGCTATTTTAATTGTGTATGTAGATGACATTGTTATGACAGGAGATGACACAGTAGAGTTGGAGTCGTTGAAGAACTTCTTATCCAACCAGTTTGAAGTCAAGGATCTAGGACAACTCAAATATTTCCTTGGAATGGAGGTGGCTAGATCTTCAAAAGGTATAATTATCTCGCAAAGGAAATATGTCCTCGATATCTTGAAAGAGACTGGATTACTCGGATGTAAACCAGTGGCGACTCCTATTGATCCGAATCAAAAACTCGAAAAAGAAGATGGTGCTAAGCCTGTGGACAAGAATCGGTATCAGAAGCTGGTGGGGAAATTGATTTATTTAGCTCATACGAGACCAGATATTGCATTTGCTGTGAGCTTGGTTAGTCAGTTTATGCATTGTCCCTCAGAAAAACACTCCAAGGCTGTTTACCGGATTCTTCATTACTTGAAAGGGAGTCCTGGTAAAGGAATCATGTTTTCGAAGAATAGAAGTTGAAGAGTGGAGATCTTCAATGATGCTGATTGGGGCGGAAGTTCTACAGACAGAAGATCTACTACCGGTTATTGCTCCTTTGTCTGGGGCAACTTAGTTACTTGGAGGAGCAAGAAGCAACCAGTTGTCTCTAAAAGCAGTGCGGAGGCCGAGTTCAGAGCCATGGCGCAAGGAGTATGTGAGTTGTTATGGCTTAGGAGGATCTTGGAGGAGCTGAAGGTTGAAGGAGATAAACCGATGAAGTTGTATTGCGACAACAAATCGGCAATCAGTATTGCTCAGAATCCTGTACAACATGACAGGACCAAACATGTCGAAATAGATCGACATTTCATCAAGGAGAGGCTGGAAAATGACGATATCTGCATACCGTTTGTTCCATCATCAGAGCAGCTCGCCGATGTTCTCACCAAGGGACTGTTTACTACGATGTTCGAATGATTTCTGTCCAAGCTGGGAATGATCGATATCTATTCTTCAGCTTGAGGGGGGGTGTCGAGAATATCTAAATTAAATATTAGATAGGATCAGTTTTAATTAGATAGAATCAGTTTTTATTCTATTAGTTATTAGATAGGATCATTTTTAATTAGATAGAATCAATTTTTTATTCTATTAGTTATTAGATAGGATCATTTTTAATTAGATAGAATCATTTTTATTTTGTTGCTAATTTTATGCATCTTTTTATGTAAAGTTGTTACATTGTAGACTCTATTTAAGTCAGCCATATTCAGCAGAAATAAACACGATTTATTCGAAACAAGTTTTTCCGTCTTTACAAGATCATGTCTGAAAAATCTGTCAGGACCAATACATAAAATGATGACTTCACAAACCATGCAATACATCATGCAGTGATCCCATTGTCGCAAACTCGTATGCAAGCACACGGTGGTTTCCTTCAACACAGTAACCTTGCAACTGAACGAAATTGTCATGCTTCAATGTTGAAACCCTTGAAACCTAACAAAAAAATTCATAAAGTTGAATTTCTAATAAAAAGGGGGAAGCACAAGACAATTGAACAGCATAAATTTGCATTATCAATAAGAACTAAAACATTAATCGGGAAAGACCATTCTGCCGAATTGCCAACACACCTGGGTCAGAAACTCAACATCAGACTCGGCCTCGGAAGAAACATCGAGCTTTTTCACAGCCACAGCTTTTCCATTGTCCAAGTTTGCATAATAAACTCTTCCGTATGAACCCTCACCAACCAAAGCCTTCGATCCGAAATTCTCAGTCTTCTCTTTCAATTCTTCCAATGACAATGCAGGCACTTCAATAGGTGGTACTGATTTTTGCACTTCGTTCTTGGCAGGAGCTGCCGCCTTTGAGTTCTTTTGATTCACTGAAAGCACGTAATATCAGCAGTGACAAATTATTGAAAGAACGCAAACATAAAATATATATGTAGATATATTGAATATATGAACACTAATAACATTATTTTTAGTAAAGAACCTTTTGTCAGAGACATTCAAATTTTAAATAATGATATTAGAATATCACACAACATATTTCATACGTCTAAAAATTCAAGCCAATGTCTTTTCCTTTTGGGTACACTAAAACTAGGAAGACAACTCAAAATAGTTTTCTTATCTTTGCAAGTAAAACGCAAATCCCTCCTTACCCCAACAGACACAAAGGTCTACTATTTTCCAAATTTGAATAATAATTGAAATATCTCCGAAGTTATTTTGCTCTCATGCCTTGCCCAAGTCACATTTCCATTCAGTGGTTTTAGTTAATTTCGAATAAGGTGTTCAACAAAGTTGAATTTACTCAGGCATACAATTTCACAAACATAACCACACATTTAACTCCACGAAAAGACTCATAACAGCAAGTCATAACTACCGAATCAAGTTAGCATCAAAGCATACCATCTGTATCGTCATCAGGGCTCTTCAAGTGCTCATTTTCATGTGGTTGGTAACTCTCCTCGACCAAACACGAACAGCAAAGCCATTGACGCATCCTTGATCTTTTCCTCAAATACAAATCGTCAGAATTTTCTAGTCGAACAAAGTAGCCAGGAGGAGGTGCCTGTGCCTGCATAAATTTTTACAAACTCATTAAAGATCCAATGAATAAAGAGTAAAATAAAATTAATCAATGATAATTGAACCAAACATATGTGAAGAGCAAGGTTGAAATCAAATCTGCCTAAAGCCAGGACTAGGAACAAGGTAAAAATTGATGACACAAGTAAGAGACATTCAGCACGGATCCGACATTGTTAGATGTGAATCTTCCAATATCAGTAAACAGCATACTTAAAAGTAGAACATGTATATATATATATGAATTGCATTTCCTTATCCTCATGATATAATGTAATAAATGAAAAATCAATAATTCCACGTACACAGAAGCCAGAGCAACTACTGATCAAAAGGCAACGTTCATACAATTTACCACAAAAGTAAAAGCTACTATACAATTGAATTATTTATAAATGATTAATCAAACGTTATGATATGTATTTCAATGAAATTAACATCTTTAACGTTCGAATTCATAAAAAACTGAAGGAGATCAACCCTTTAAGCCTTACCACCAAGCCTTGTCGTCGATAACCATCTTCCATCAGAGAAATTAAAGACAAAGAAAATAAATAAAAAATCAAACGTAAACCCAGAAAAATCAAGGCCGAAGTCCAAAAAGGGTCGATGAGAATTCACAAAACAAATCAAAGACTCAAAAGATAAACGAAAGCCTTAAACTTTAAATTTGAAATACAATGAGGAAAGCAATGGATAATTAATAATAGTTGAAGAAAACAATGGAAACAAAACAGCATTACAGATTAGAAACTGAATCAAAAATGATTAAAATAGATATAGTTTGAAAAACAAATCCGATTGTATTAATAATAACAATACCTGGCTTTTTCTCTCCCTCGTTTATTGTAGGAAAATCTGTTCCGTTTCTCTTCTAGAATTTGTTCGTTTATTAGTTTTTCTTTACAGAATTTGGAAGAATTTAATGATTTTTTAAGGGTTTTTCCGTTTGAATTTGAAAACAAAAAGGGAAAACAATGTAAATTTGACTAAGAGTCAACGAGGGGACAAAAGATAAAATAAAATAAAATATAAAAAAGGAAATATTCCTCTCGCTATATATATATATATATGTATTAGGGTAACTACACTGGTAGTTTCTAAACTTTTAAGGTTCTTACATTTTAGTCATTGAAATTTAAAATTTACATGATAGTCGCTACATTTTTAATTCACTTTTGTTACATTTATTGTGATTAACTACTATCAGTAAAGACGTGATATGTTAAAGTTTTCTTTAAAAAATATTTTTTTTATTGTTGTTCGGTGAATTTTTGGTAAAAAAATGATTGAACTACTATTTTTGTCTTTTATCTTTTTCGATTCAAATTTATTATAAAATATTTTAATATTCTCAAATCACAATTGAATTTAAAAGTTTAATTTTTATAATGCGACACAAACTAAATTGAACTTCTTTGTCGTTAGCATTGATCGACAATTGTTTCGTTCATTAAAAACTCGTCAAGATAGAGATATATAATTTTTCCTTTTCTCTTGTTTTTCTTTTACTTTTATGATTTATTTGACGATGGTGAGAGGATAACGAAACTCCTAAGTATAATGAGTATTGAGTTTAGTGATGATGATAATCAGAAGAACGTTGGATAATGACGACACATGTGATTTAAACAACGACACATGTGATTTAAACAACGACTGTCAATTTAAATGAAGACTTATAATTTTTAAAAAGAAGAATTTAACATACGATGTCGATTTTTCTTAATAGCAGCTGACTACAGTGACCATAGTGAAATTCAATTAAAAACTCAATGAATTTAATGCAAGTTTTACAAGTTTAGAGATTAAAATATAATAACTCTCAAAGTTAAGAGACTAGAGTGTAGTTTACCCATATATTTGACTAAAATATCTCAAGCGTTACAAAAAGATATAATATTTGAATTGGGAATTAACCGAATAATTTTCCTATAATCATATTAGTGAGAATGCGAAATAAAAGCGGAAAAATAATACCCGAAATTGATAACGGAGTTCAGCCAATTATGCCTACGTCTCCGGACTGCCGCAGATCTTTTACTAAAGAGAAAAAATTTACAGGTGTTTACAAAACACTCACAACTCACAAGAAAACTTTCTAAACTCTTTAGTAGTGGGAGAAAGAAATGATTTTGGATGATTTTGAAGCTAAATAGGTTAGGGTATTTATAGTTGAAGCTTAAAGACTAATCTTGAAAATACCCTAAAGTGTAGGGACTAAAGTGCAGTTATCTCATGCATGAAATTCAACAATTTCTGCCCACTTGCACCGAAAGTTTCTTTGCCAGCAACCCACCGAAAATTGCTTTGATAATTCAACAATTATTATTGCTTTGACAACCCACCAAAATTGATTTTGCAACAATCTCTCACTTAAAGACTGATTTTAATCTGTCTTCACACCTCGATCAATGCAACAACATTTCTAGTCTTGTTACTCTAGCATGCCAACTGAAGCTGAACACAACTTCAGTTTGTCTGTAGTCATCGTCTTTGTTAACATGTCTGTCGGATTTTGAGCTCCACTAATCTTTTGAAGTTTCAAAATCTCATCTTGCATAAGAGACCGGATAAAATGATATCGCAATTGTATGTGTTTCATCCTGGAATGAAAAGATGGATTCTGCGCTAGATGGATAGCAATATGACTATCGCAAAACAATATATTGTTTTCTTGTTTCTTGTCTAACTCTTCCAAGAAACTTTAGAGCCAAACCATCTCCTTGTTGGCTTCCGTAACAGCGACATATTCTGCTTCAGTTGTGGAGAGAGCAACTATCTTCTGTAGTTGAGAAACCCAACTCACTGCAATACCTCCTAGAATATAGACATACCCTGTAGTGCTTCTTATGATATCAACATTTTCGGCTAAGCCAGCATCTACATAGTCCGTCAGTATTATATATCCACCATTGAAACAAAATGCTTTGTTTGTGGTACCTCGCAGATATATGAGGATCCATTTGATTTCTTCCCAGTGTACCTTGCCCGAATTATTCATGTACCTGCTAATAGCTCCCACTGCATGAGCAATATATGATCTAGTACAAACCATGGCATACATCAGACTTCTAATTGCTAAGGCATATAACACTTTTACCATGTGTGCACGTTTTTCCTCCGTCTTTGGTGATTGTTCTTTGGAGAGTCTAAAATGAACACCTAAAGGTGTACTTACTGGTTTAGCATTTTGCATGTTGAACATGGAGAGTACTTTGTTGATGTACTCAGTCTGTGATAATATCAAAGTCCCCGACTTTGTGCTCTCTTAATCCTCATCCCAATAATCTGCTTTGCAGCGCCCAGATCTTTCATTGCAAACTACTTCAACAATTTTTGCTTCAAGTTTATAATCTCTTGCATGTCTGAGCCTGCAACGAACATGTCATCAACATACAACAATAAAATAATGAAGTTGTTGTCAAACTTCTTGATGTAGCAATAATGATCTGCTTGACATCTGGTAAAACTACTGCTACTTATGAAGCTATCGAACTTCTTGTATCACTGTCTAGGAACTTGTTTTAAACCATACAAGCTCTTCTTTAATGTAACATCCTTAATACCGGGTTAGTGACCAAATTGTAATATTCCAAAATTTGGTGATTAAAGTGGAATAGTTGAAAAGTTCAGTGATTTATTTGGAAATATTACCTTAAATATACTAGTAATTATAAAATGTATTAAAGGGCAAAAGGGTCATTTGACCAAGAGATGAATTAAATAATGATATATATATATATGGATAAGGATGAGAGATTTTTCCAGAAATCTCTTCTCTCTTTTTCTTCTTCATCTTCTTCTTCCTCCCGTGAAAGCTCCAAGGCAAAGGTAAGATTCCTTGTTAACTGATTATTTGTTGATTTTAAAGAGTGGGTTTTGATCCTTAGGTAATATTTAAGCTTATTGAAAGTTTAGATTGTCCTAAAATCAAAAGATGAAGAAGTTAGTAAGAATTAAAGAGAATGGGTTTTTAAGTGAATTTCTGAAAAAGAGTTGATCAGTTGAATTTGAAACTAAATTTGACTTGTCATCAACTTAATTAAGAGATATGAAGTGATAGAATTGGATTTAGAACATCTTAAAAATTTAGTATGATTATTGATTTCCATATGAAAGATGGAATTTTGAAGTTAAAGATTAGATAAATGAATATTAATGAGTTTAAGTATGTATGTGTAAGTTAGGAATATGAAAGGGGATGAAATATGAAGGATTTAATCCAAAAACAATGAATTTTTGGGTTCAAAAAGAGGATTCTGGGCAGATTGCATCGATGCATATTCATAGTGCATCGATGCATCAAGGTTAAAACCAAGAAATGTTTGAAGGTGTATCGATGCACAGGTAGTGCATCGATGCACTCTTTTAAATAAAAACATCGAATGCAATTAGTGCATCGATGCATAAGGCATGTATCGATCCATCCCAGTAATAAACAAACATCGAATGTATTTTATGCACTGATGCACAAGTAGTGCATCGATGCATCGTTAGGGAATGCATCGATGCACTGCGCAGTGCATCGATGCATACCTTCATTAAAAGATGAAATTGGCTTTTCTCTTAGCCTAAGGAGTGATAGTTTCGAATATATCAATTAGTATACTGATAAGTATAAATGTATTATTATGTAGATATAGAATGAAAGCTTATTCCGGAACAAACTAAGGATTATGATTGATTCGAAGCAAACGAGGCCCAGGTGAGTGCATACAAGTTAGTTTATGATGTTTAATGGAAATAAGACTTGCGACGAGTCTATTTCCTATATTAGAATGTATGAATTTATGATCATATGTATATGTTTGATTTGAGTATATATGATATAAATTACAGTAGGTGTTAAATATTTTGTGTGTATACATGTAGTGTGATCAGTTATAGGATCTAATATGAATTATCTATATGATTGCATGGGAAGTGAAATAAGTTATATGATGGATGACCATACATATTACAGGGTATAGGTGATTAATTATGAGAATCAGTATAATATATTTATGACTACATGAGATGGGTGATGAGTTAAATAAGACCAGACTATAGAGTAATATGAGAATATTTAAGAGAATAATATATAAATCAGAAGATAATACATTAAGAGACTTTATGAAAATGGTATATATATATAAATTAGGGGACATGAGCATAACGATGATACGAACCTATAGGATAAACACTTTAGGAAAAAGTGATATGCTTAAAAGAAAACTATGATATAGAAGTTATAAAATGAAGAACTATAAAACCTTGTGAGAAGGTTATAGGAGCTATTTAGAACTAAATTAAATGGATAGAATAATTCATAATTAAATAACGTGAGATAAGTGGTAAGGGTTATATGTTATTGTACATATTAGTATAATAAATCATGTAAGCTGATACAAAGGGAAAATGAGATAAAGATAAATAACTTTTACATATAGGATTGATATAAGATTATATGTCGGTGTGATAACATGTATAAGGGAACTAAGCTCTATGATATGGATCCATGTGAGTATAAGTAACCTGATTGCATAAACTATATATATATTTATATAATTTGGTATATGCCATTTGATTCCTGTGTATACATGTAGATAATATATGTGGATATAAGCTATGCAAAAGTGATCTATGTGACTAG